AGAAAAACACCCTAGTGATAAGATACTAAAATACTGTATACCGAAGTTATAAAATTTAAAAAAAGAACATTAAAAAAGAGTACTGGCACCAGTGTAAAAAAGACCAACAAGAAAATTATCCAGAAATAAAACACTTTTGGGTATAAGGATCTAATTATATATCATCAGAGAAGTACACATATCTGTAGGGATGGAAGGATTATTTAACAAATACTGTTAATAGAATTGTAAGTAATTAATCTAAATAGAAATTTAAACATTTGTAATATATACTACCATAAATGCCAGATGGATTCTATAATGACATTAAAAAACAACAAACCAAAGAATTTAATTGGGTACTGTTTGAATTTAAGATTAACTGAACTTGGGGTGTGGCACAGTGTTAGAATGCCTGCCTTCATATATGAAGCTCCTGGGTTTGATCTCCAGCACTACAAAACAAAGAAATTTAAATATCTAGCAGAGGGTGAAAATATTTGTATCAAATTTCTAAGTGTTAAAATAGTCTTACATATGAAATTTGTGTGCAAAAATGTATATACAGACATATAGAGCAAGACTGAATAATTAAATTGAAGGCTCAATAACAACAAACATCAAAATCATGTCAACACGAATTAAGCTACTAAGGAATCACCTTAAGCTACCAGGAATCACCCATTAAATTAACAGCAACTCCCATGCTGGCCAGAGTCACTACCATAAGGAGTTGCATCGATTGCTAATGGTCTTACATATAATTTGACCATTTGAAGCCACTCTTAGGAATTTTGATCTGTCAGGATTCATAAAATCATTATACATTTGGACCCTGAAATCTCACAACTGGGAGTTGATCCAAAGAAATTAGCTCCCTTCTTTTTCCAAAAACAAACCTATAAACCTAAAGATGTTCACAGAGTTGTTTCAAACAGTAAAAAATTAGAAACTACCTAAATGATTAATATAGGGAAGTAATTCAGATAGGCTTATGTCCCCTGCTGGAATGTAGTACAATAATTAAAAATATGGTAATAGGGGTTGCAGTTGAACAATATGATATGGATAATTTTCTGAAATGAGGTTTGAAGTTGTATATACAAGTTTGATGATAGCTGGAAGGAAGCACATAAAAATGATAAATGGTTTTGATGAAGTGACAATTGATAATTGTTTTTGTAGTTTCTGTGATCCTTTTTTTAATGCTAGGCTGCATTGGTATAATCAAGATCAGGGTGACTACTAGATCTATGTTACAAGAAAATCATGAGCTTTAGAAATGGGATACAACCAGGGCTGGCGAGATGCACAGGGACCAGGGGCCGATCCCCAGTAATACATGCTGTGCCAGCCCTGTCCCCATGTGTCCTGAGCCAGCCACCGAGTCCAGGCGTGATTGTGCACACCTGTAATCCGAGTGCTGGGGAGGCTGAAAACTGGAGGATCACTACGAGTCTGAGCTGCATAGTGAGACCCTGTACCAAATACAAGTAAGAAAGAAAGAAAAGGGAGAGAAGTTAGGGGAGATAATCAATTCTGGGTGTTCTTCTTACAGGTGTTTAACCTTGACTCTAGTATTTAATCTCAGTTTTTCTATTTGTTTGGGTTTTTTTTTTTGTTTTTTTGGCGGATCCGGGGATTGAACTCAGGCCCTTGCACTTGCCAGGCAAGTGCTTATTCCACTGAGCCATCTCCCTGGCCCTAACCTCAATTTTAGTATCTGAAAAGGAAGTTTATATCTTTCCCTCATGACTGTTAGGTAGATTAATAATAGATAGTAACTATTAATAAACATTTGCTTCAAGTCACATGTGGAACAATCTGTTAATTTATAAGCAAATAATCTCACCTAACAACAGAGGTTTATTTCTCACTTGTATCATTTATTAGCTGGAGGTGGTAGGTGGCCCTACATTCTCTTTGCCCTGAGATGAAAGGGGAGAGAAAGATGGCAAAGCTACAGAATGGCTCTTAAAATTCTGCTGGAGGTGGCAGGCTCCTGTTGTGTTTCACTGAGAGGAAGGGTAATTAATGTCAGTTCATTGGAGGCGTGCTCCCATGGGAATGGGACAGTGCAGACAGGTGATACATAATTTGAACTAATAACAAAATCCATGACAAAGTGTGTATAATTATTGCTGTCATCTTAGTAAGTATGTGATAACCTCAAGAAATCTAGAGAAGATCAGGTTTGGAGATTTCAACCTGAAATACATTGGTAAGAGAGAAGAGTTGATGGGAAAGGAGGGATGCATGAATGCTGTCTCCAGATATTTGAAGAATGACTGTCCCTAAACAGTGGTGAATGGTACCAGTGGGCACAAATTGCTTCAGTTTAAGGGCATAAGTAGGGAAGGAAGCAGAAAAGGGAATTGTTTGTTGTTTTAATTTGTATTCCTCAAAATAGCCTCATGAGGGGTATGTGTATGGGGGAGAAAGAGAGAGGATTGTGTATAAACAGCAGAGAAAAACCGATTTGAAGTAGGTAAGTACCTATCACATTGCAAATAGGTGGCAAACCAGTATGGAAACCAAGTCTGTGTTTTGCTATTCTCAATTGATCTGTAAGCCTACTTATGACTGGCAACTTCTTCTCTATCACTATCAGGATCAGATACAGAACAGATGGAAAATTTGAAAGGAAGGTTGTGCTCTCAGCCCTCCCTAAATCAGTGGTCTGCAAACCACTGATTAAGCCTCTCAGCAAAACACTTGAGCGTATACCATATGGAGGATTCAGTCCCTTTCAGATAATGAAATTGAGGTTCAGAGAAACTTTTCTTGTACCAGTGTCATGTGTGTTATAAAAGATAGATAATAGAAATTTAGTAAGATTATACATAAAACATTTCTGGTTTTTATAGATTAGATTTTATGCAAAGTCCTACAGTTTACTGTTTTACAGGAAGGTACATTTTCCTGTATCTCTGTGAATTGTTTTTTGTATATTCACTGAGAGGCATGCCACCAGTGCTATAGGTTTATTGTTTTGAGTGATTTTCTAAGGATTTTTTTTCAGTACTGGGGATTGAACTCAGAACCCTGTGCTTGGCAGGCAAGCACTTATTCTACTGAGCTATTTCCCTGGCCCTAAGGGGAATGAGTCTACTAAAATGAGTCTAAGACTCATTTTAGTATGAAGATTTTGTGATTGTTCTGAATATTTTAGCTTCATTCACTTTAGAGAAGTATTTACGTATTTTAGTTTTGTGGTGCTGGGGATCAAACCTAGGACCTCAGGAATGCTACACTAACACTCCACACTGAACTCCATCCCAGCCCCAGAAAGGTCTTTCATGTAGACTGTCTACAACCCAAACTGCAAAGTCTCTCCTGGCATTTATAGCAGCAGTTAGTCCTGAAACCACATGGTATGAAAAGTGTTTTCTCAAAACAATCATAGCAAAACCACAAACATAATCTCTATACAAAAGAAGATGTAAATATAGGTTATCATTAAAGTAATAAATGTGATTTCTGTGCGTGACACAAGAAGCAGCCTCATTAGTCACAATCTTTTCTAGATCTCTGTATGCCCAAACTCAATGTAGTTTAGTTTCTAACATGAATCTTAAAGTTTTACCTTGAGGATAATATAAATGTTGTACTTGGGGAAATTATTAATTAGCACTGTTCTAAAGTGGAACTGAAGTTTTACATAAGGTTAAGCCTACTAAACTAAAATTTTGCATTCTGATCCATCGTGATGGGCCATGGCCAGGTGGATGGATGCTCATATCGTAATTCACAATAAACATCTGAAGCATCAACCTGGCAGTGTGTTTGTGAATATATGTCCTGAGGGGCCCTCAGGCCAGGAATTCCTTGGTAATAACTCTTAGGGATCCTTTTGTTCTAGAAAAGTAAAGCTTAAATGGTTTAATTTGGTGTTTTTAAAAGTTTTTTAGTTTTAATTTTTTTTTTTTTAATTTTGAGTTTCATGTTCTTTACTCGGTCACCCAGTGCTTCTTTGTGCCAAGCACTGAGGACCTAGTTACACATGGCATGGAAAGCCACGGCACCACTCTGCCCTTATGACAGTTAGGAATACTGCTGTGGAGTAACTTGTGTTTGCCTGCCTGCTTGCTTGCCTGTCTCTTACCACATCGCTCTTTGCCCATTTCCCTCTCTGTATTTCTTTCCCTCCCTTCTTATAACTTTTTTCTCCTTTGAAATAATAGAATTTAAAAGGGCATTTTAGAGTTAGGTCATAAAACTTGGATGGTATAGTTATGCAGGAGATGAATAAACTCACTTCTTTTAAAGAGCAAATACACTTTTGCCCAGGTGTGTTAACTTGCTCAGAAATCATGTATCTTAAATGGCTGATGGTATGCTCAACTTCTGTGTTAAGTAAAATTGCTAACAGTATGTTTTTATACAAATGTGCTTTTGGATGCAAACACTGATATGATTAGGTAATTTTTATTACTCTTTCTTTACGTACATATCTTCTGAATTACAATTCTAAATGTATTATTTCTGGAGTTAGCTGTTTTTATGTTTTTGGTCTGTATATTACGGCTAGCTTATTTCTTATTTTTCAGTGCTTTGTTTTGTTACCTAGAGTATGTCCTAGTTAATTATAGACCTATATATTTTGCTATTATCTTCTGTAGTGATGAATTTAAAGGAGATTGAAAGAATAATTCTTGTCTTCTTTAGCATCAGACAACAGTCAGCGGTTTCGAGAAACCTGTTTTGCATTTGCCTTGACCCCGCAACAAGTGCAGCAGATCAGTAGCTCCATGTAAGTTGTCTCCAAGTGTAACTGCAGCGTGGCTTTTAAGTGCAGTGTCATCATGAGTTATTTTTTAAAAAACAGCATTTTGGGTGGGTTTCTATTAGAACAAAAACAAACAATAGCAACAACAAAATATAGTGAGACCCTGTCTCAAAAAGAAACAAACAAAAGAAATTATTGTTATAGTACAATCTCAGTTCATAAGCTTAATTCTTTCCACCATTCTGATCGCACACCGAATTGGATGAAAACAGAATCAAATCCAGTGTTTGGGTTCACTGTTACCTTATGGGGAAGTTTGATCTGATTCTCGTCCGATTTGGTTTGCAACCAGAATTGTGGGAAGAATTGAATTCATGAACCATGAACCGAGGCACTATTACTGTATGTTCTTCAAGAACCGTTATCTCTCTGCTAATTTAAAAAAGAAAAAAGAAAAACTTTTCTAGGTAACAGTGACTTTGAATGAGCTTTCATGTGCATATATTTTTAAATAATTGTATTTCTCATTCTGTTTATTTTAGGGATATTTCTGGGACCAAATGTGACTTCACAGTGCAGGTCCAGTTAAGGTACGGTGTTGACTACAGCATCTATCCAAAGTTTAAAAGATAATTTCCCCTAAAGATCAATTTAAAATCTGCCTGATTTTCAGTAAATATGTTGAAAGTATTGGGTTTAGATATTTGGGCAAGAGAAAACATTCTTCTATTGTGGGATATCATAATTTTTACCCTATTTATTTGGGTGTGACAAGTCATATACAGCAGGTCAAATAGCTCAGCGGATTAAAGCACCTGCTTAGGCAGACGCAGAGAATGGGAGTTCAATCCCCAGGCCTGCTGTGCTGCCCGCCCCCCAGGGGGTGTATTGAGCTGGTGATTAAGACTGTGCGTGGTGGTGCGCTCCTGTAATCCCAGCACTTGGGAGGCTGTAAACAAGAGGATCACTGTGAGTCTGATCTACACAGTGAGACCCTGTAGACCCTGTCCTAAATACAAAACAAACAAACAAAGGTCATGTATTAACTTCACTTTATATTTACCCACATTTCTTCTCTTTGGTTGCCCTCAGTTGGTTGAGAAGCTTCAGCCAGTGGTATCTTTTTAAATAATACAGTGGCCAGCTCTTAGAGCAACTTTCATGTGAGAAAGAACCTTATGCATGTAAGGGGCAAAGTGACATAACCAAAGAACTGGTACTAAAGCCTGCAGCATCTCATGGACTAGCAAACACAGTAGCCTGGTGGTTTTCCCTTCCTTGTTCTGTGGTCCTCTTATCCTCCCTGTTGCTCTCACTCCCTTCTCTCTTCCCCCTCACTTCCTCTTCCCTCTTTCCCCTTTCCTCTTCTCCTCTCCCCTTGTTCTTTCACACCAGTGAAGCCTTTTTTTAGAGAAATATGCTCTACAGAACATGTTTTAGCTAAGTAAAAGTAGGAAAAGAAGTGCCTCCCCTGTATTGCATGTGTGGTGGGCTACCATGCGAGAGACTGGCCTATCTTGTTTTAAATTTCAGCCCTTTACTGGGGAGCTGAAAATAGGATCACTACGAGTCCAAGCTGCATAGTGAGACCCTGTACCAAATACATTTTTAAAAAATAAATAAAGAAAGAAATTTTAGCCCTTTGGAGGCCCATCTAACTTTCAGTCCATAAGAGACTATCTCTTGGACATTTTTAGTGGCACAGAGAAAAACATTCAACATGTAGTCATAGCTGCCCCTTAATCATTTCTTTGTATGTAAGCTACTACCTTTTTATGTTAATATATCTCCCTCTTACTTATATGAACTGATTTTATTCTGTTCTAATTATTCCATGAGTATCCATATACAAACCTAAGTGTGCTACATTGTTCTTGTTGGATTAGATGGTAGAAGTGGAAATAAACAGACAAATCATTTTCCTAAGTAAGCTATTTTTCCTGTATTGTGGAGAAGTCAAACAAATCAGTCATGATAGTCAGATACTAAGTTATATGTGCAAATTATAAATACAGTAGTAGGTCAGAAAAAAAAGTATCATCCTCACTCTTCATAGAACAGGAATCAGCTGTTCACCTGATTTAGGCTTAAAAATAAGGAGGTAAAGACAAGGAGAAAGCAAAGGAGAGGTTAAGTTGAAGATTCTAAGAATATAAATATTCTTGCGAACTTTTAAACCATAAAAAATATGGCAGGACACTTCTCCGGTAGACCACTGATAATTTAAGTCATGGTTTTGGAAAGCTTTATATACATGGTACAATTCATCATCCTCTATGAGGGCACATTTTGATAGTGACTGAGTAAAAGTACAAAAATACAATGACTCTTAATTAGTTAAACATTACATACAGGAACTATCATCTTCTGAACTTTTTTCCTCAACCATTTATTTTATATGTTGGGCATTATCTTGCTTACAGATTTGGGGAGTAAGCCCAGGGCTCTTGTGTAGAGTGGCATCTCCAGCCCTTTGTAGTTTTCATTTTGAGATTATCTCCTGCTAAATTGTCCAGTTTGACTTTGTTGGGTGTTTTGTTTTGTTTTGTTTTGTTTTGTTTTGTTTTGTTTTGTTTTGTTTGTTTTGTTTTGTTTTCTCCTTGACTTTGAATTTAGGGTCCCAGACTCAGCTTCCTGAGTAGGCGCATGTGGCCTGCTCACAGTGTAAACAGGCCCTTGTCATGTTTGAGCTCTATGTGATGGCAACAGGAAGTGGCTACAAAATTATTACTGCACTACAGTTAGTTTTATGTGGCTATGAGTTAATATTGCTTAATGCCTGTTTACATTGTGTGGACTGAAATGGTGCCGTGTACAGCCTATGTGTAAATAAGTTTTGATAAATTTTTACTTTCTGTAATTTGTGTCTATTTCAAGATAAAATACACTATTTTCTACATATCTTTTTTTTGTTTGGCTTTTTTTGTTTTTCTTTTTTTTTTTTTTACGGAATTTGGGATTGAACTCAGGCCCTTGCACTTGCCAGGGAAGCACTTACTCCACTGAGCCACCTCCCTGGCCCCCCCTACATATATTTTATGCCTTCAGGAACTAGCTTTTTCTTTTTTTTTTTTTTTTTTTTTTTGGTGGTACCTGGGATTGAACTCAGGACTCTGCGCTTGCCAGGCAAGCGCTTATTCTACTGAGCTATCTCCCTGGGCTGAGGAAATAGCCTTAAAGACACTTTGGGTATCACCAGTCTAGTTGATTTGTCTGTCCAAATTATCACAGATCTCCAGCAAGAGGAGTATCCATGTGTAAATGGAGCTGCGTGCTTCAAGCTATACTGTTCAGTGTCTGCTACTGTACTCTTAAGCCCGTGTGCGTGTGCTTAATCATTACAGGGAGTGTTGGCTTTTTTTTTTAAAGATAGTTTTCCCTTGTTTGATTGTTTTTAAGTTAATCTTCTTTTAGTTTAGCTGTTTAGACAAAAATATTAATGTTGTTTTAATGAAATTATCCTTTAATAAAAGAAATTAAACTTGACCTTTATTCTTTAGGTTTTGTTTATCTGAAACCAGTTGTCCACAGGAAGATCACTTCCCACCCAATCTTTGTGTGAAAGTGAACACAAAACCTTGCAGCCTTCCAGTAAGTCCTAAAGGCTAGGTTTTAAGTACATTACCAACAAAACTAGCAGATGTCATTGCAGCTGTTTTTACTCTGGGTTTTTCATTAAGAAAACATTTTTATTTTGGTCTGCCTTTGTGTCTAGCTACAATATTGGCACCACTTGTGTACAGTTAGCTGTGACATTAGCTATGGATTCTGAGTTGGGCGTGGTAGATTTGGTGTTGTGCGGGGTTTTATGGAGAAGTTTCCACACGATCTCAACTGTGTGCATGTGATTCTTTAAGACTGTAGTACAATGTAGATTTGAACTGTGATAAGCCTTACTAGGGGGTGAGAGAGGAAGCTGTTGTTGGTCATTTTCAACATATTCCTTATATACTTATCTCACCTAGTTCTTTAAGAGATTTGAATCTCTGTGACTGATGTTTTCCTCAGGCTTACTATAATGAGATTAAAGGATTGTTTAGAGAAATAGTAACACAGGAAACTTAGACTTGTTCACTGTACTTTGAATGAAAACACTTGTATTTTGTACTGTGTTAGATGGGATGGGTTTTTTAAGAAAAATGGAAGTGAAGTGATTGAAATTGAAGTTGAATAATTATATTTCTTTTCTAGGGTTACCTTCCACCTACTAAAAATGGTGTGGAACCAAAGCGACCCAGCAGACCAATTAATATCACCTCACTTGTTCGATTGTCCACAACAGTACCAAATACCATTGTTGTTTCTTGGACTGCAGAAATTGGAAGAGTGAGTACATTTTTGTTTCCACCGGATTTTTGTGTTATAAGGGAGGATTGATCACCATGGCTACTGGAGTATATATGGAAATGATACTGTAAAATAAGTTATGAAGGGATTTTCTTCTCATAGTGAATTTTCAACATGTTCCCATTTAAAAAGTGGGTCATGCAGTATCTAATGTTTTATAACCTGATCTTTTAACTCAACAATTTATCATAAATGACTCCCTTTCTTATCATCTATTTTTCTGCATTATTTTATATAGCTACATCATATTCTAATGTGAATATGCCACTACTTAGCTATTGCTGAGCACTTATTTGATCTGTTGATTGACTTATTCATTGCATCAGCAAAGACCATTTTGAAGACCAGCCCAGTAGCTATAGCTTTGCATACATACATAGTAATATCCTTAGTAAAAATTCTCCTAAGTAGAATTGCTGAGTAGAGCATGCAGAATGTTAAGAAATGTTATGTATATTGACAGGCTGCCTTCTCAAAAGACGTGCAAATTTATTTTCTTCCAATGTTTGTTTGTATGCCTATCAACACTATTCTCTTTTTAAAAATCTTTACCAGTTTTAAACAGTGGTAAACAATGGTATCACTCCAATAGTACTCCTTTATT